GGTGGTGGAGTGTAATTAGGTTTATTCATTTATTTGTTAATGGAGGTGCTGGGATTGAACCCAGGACCTCGTGCTTGCTAAGTGCACGCGCTACCACTGAGCTCTATCCTCCCATCTCAGGTTCTCATCCAAGCCCTCAGCCCTCCTCTGCATGAGGAACCCCTCAGCTACCTGCACCAAGACCCCGGGCACTGATGGGCTGACCTTCCCCGGGGCCTTTGTCTCTTCGGAGTTTTGCCGACTGGGAGGCAGCCAAGTTTTCCCTCCCAGCCTGAGACTGCCCTGCCTTAGCCTGACCCGGCCACCCTAAGGTCCTCTCCCTCCCAACCCTGCTCCCACAGGAAGTGCGTGAGTGTGTGTCCGTTGGGCTACTTTGGGGACACAGCAGCCAGACGCTGTCGCCGCTGCCACAGGGGATGTGAGACGTGCTCGGGCCGGAGCCCGACGCAGTGCCTGTCCTGCCGCCGAGGGTTCTATCACCATCAGGAGACCAACACCTGTGTGACCCTCTGTCCTGCCGGATTCTATGCTGATGAAAGTAAGTGCATGTTCCTGGGCGTACAAATGAGGAGTCAGCCCCCTACCCCTCTGTGGGCCGGGGTCCTCTTTCCCAGCCCTCTGCTCCCTGTCTCCTTCTGAGAAAGCATCCTTATGGGAGGAAGGAAGGAAAGGGAGAGGGATGGTGAAATAAGCCCTCGGACCCTGTTAGTTGATAGCAGTTCACACACACACCTTTCACAGCGTTCAAAGTGATGGCGGAAAGTTGCCACCGTGGTCCGTGGACAATCACGCGTCTGTAAGTTACTATTCATGATTGAGGATGGACAAGGAGGTGGCTTGAGCCAGCAGCCTCCAGGCTCACTCTGATTTCAGATGTCTGAACAGAAAGGCCTCCAAAGATGCTCTGCAGCTCCTCCTGGGCGGGGCTTGGGGTCCAGCACCGGCTAGTGGACTTGATGGATGAACCTGGGTGGAAGCCCCTCCCAGGAAGAGCCCTGAGCTGACACTGGGGTTTAAGGACAGGGGGTTTGCAGCTCTCCATGAAGGAAAAGGAGCCTGTGCTGGGTAGACTGGGCT